ATTCTCTTTCTTTAGCTGTAGTTCTAACTTGTAATTCTAACTTTAGCTGTAGTTCTCGTGTAATTCCAAATGATGCAAAGACGTAATGTGAACGTGAATGTGCATTTGTCAAATAGGTACCAAAGGCATACGTATATTAAACATAACAGAAACTTGTAGTAGTTTCTTGGGCGATAAACGTGATGGTGAAAAGATTTTATCAGTCAATATCGACTGATCCTCGTTTATTAAAGAAATATTTAATCTCTACTAGGTGGAGAAAAACTTTTCATTGCAAACTGATGATAATCTTATCGATTGGTTGAAATTGCAAAGAAAAGAAGAGCTAAATATGTGTGTTTGCTGATAGATATGAGAGGAATGCTGTCAGCACAGAGATCTCATGATCCTCCAAGTATTAAGAGCTAAACGTTGATATTTGATAATAACCAAACATCTCATTTAATATCAATTGACTGAAATTTTTAAAAAGAATTTCAAACTTTATCTTAAATGCTGAGATAATATTCTCACTTCCTATTCTTTTCTTTTTAATTATATCCTGGACGATGCTTATAAGAATAAATTCCAAAATAGAATCCTCGCAAAAGCAGTTGTTCTCGACGACGGTTTTCCCACGGACACAGCGTTGGTATCCCTTTCAACTGAAATCGCTAATGGAAAGTATTTCACTGAAATACATTTAGCCGGTTATCAAGGACAATCGTGCGGCTTGCGGTTTTATCGAGTTCTTTCGAAAACCGCAGTGTCCTCGTGACTGTGCTGCTCAGGAAGTGGCACAGACTTCCTTATGATCCCTCGTGATGCAAAAGTTCTTGATAAATAAATTTAAATTTACTGTATAAAAGAGTGCCATGGTCTGGTCTGTCACTTGCATACATTCATTGTAACATTTATACTCTTCCTTTTTATCGTCGTTCTGTTTAATGTTTTAAATAATAAGATATATTAATCGATCAGAAATAAGAATATTACAAATAATATAATTACCAAGCAAAGCCAATTGTACTGTATGATAAGTTTCTACGACAGTGGATCTTTTTATGAGGATTCGTTAGTGCATCGTGTAGGAGTCGAATCAGTTACTTCGTGTGAAAACAATAAATAAGACAGATAACTGGTAAAATGCGCTTGCATTGTGTTACTCGGTTATTGCAAGAATCTTGATTATTCCTTCAAAAATTGCTATCTTTCGAAGCTTCTCTGTTACTAATTGCGATAATAGTAATACGTAAGTCTCTTGAATTCTCTCCTCTCCATTTTTTCTCGGGATTGAACACATGTGTATATAGCAATTTAAGCGATGTAGCCGATCCAATTCAGTCAAAGTATACTGAACTGATGCTGTAGTTTCGCGCGTCGAAAACGATGTAAAGTGCATTCTGATAGGCGGAGACACAGATTCTTCCTGGAATGCGGTCAGGTTAGAACCGAATGTGGGAGAGCCGTGCCAGGGAAAAAGATCGCGTGGGCAAGAAAGAGATCGGCAGCCGGGAATGTCGACATTTGCGACCGAGCTATTGTCCCGCTGCGATCGAATTAAGTTGTTTCAGCTGCTGAAAAACGGATGGAAACGAGATGATAATTGAAAACACATTTCAAGAGACAAATATATAACATGATTATAAATCCATTGTTAGAATCGTATTGCGTGCATTATCTGTTTGTCTAATAAGTATATGTGCGAACATGCGATTAAATATTATTTAGACAACTAAATATATTTAGTGCAGGTCTGTTGGAAAGTTAAGCTAAGCTTAAAAAGATAAAAGGTACAAGAGCTGATGTACCTACACTATTGATAGAAAGCTTCCCTTGGCAGCAGCTTCTCAACGGATAAGCCATGAAAAAAATAAACCCAGTAGGGATCTTTTTGCACAACATATGATTCAAGTAATAAAGCACAATACAATGAGTTAAATGCTGTTAGTATCTAAATTGACAAAGAAAGATAGATAATGGCCAAAAAAATCTTCAGATTTATAAATCTACAAACAAAGGAACATGTTTGAAAAATAAGTGACAATATAATTTTGATTGTGAAAATCAAATAAATTATTGGTTCGCAGAATTAAATTTTGCACTACCTCACTTCTATACTTTCCATCTATTATAATTGAACTTATGTTATAACGAGAAAATGTAAAGTACTAATGCTTTCAAAGACGTTTTCTCAATATATTACACTTTCCATTTTACGTCTCAATCAAGCAAGATCTACATCCGCGCAATTCGTTAGAAATATCGGTTTTAAAAGACGACGATGCGAGAATTTTTCTTCAGTGTCTCGAACGAAATCACCGTTGGACACATCGTCGGATTGATTTTTCAACATTATTGCTAGTTATAGCTGGGCGTACGCGCGGCTGCCTCTCAAAGGGTGCAATCATCCGTCGATTGATGGTAAAAAGTTACTTGACCTTCTGGAAAATACGTGATTACGTAATGGCCTGGAGGTTGTTCTGGTCGTTTTATTCTTGCGCTTCTTGTATTTCGCTTAACGAAATAAACAAAACATCGAGAACGATTGTACTACACGCGTGGAGCTGAAATGGCACTTCTGTTGGCCGTGGAACAGCGTTCCACCCATTTCTTAATAAATGAGCGATATTAACATTTATACCGCGCACCGTGATGTTTCCTTCTACACCGTAAGCGTGACTCATAACTGCCTATCCCGAACGTTTTATAATGGTATTAGTGCCATAATCTATACACCCTCTGGGGAACAGTGCACACGATAGTGTGCGCACCAAGTATATCATTAAAGTACAAGAACACAAACACCGTGGAAAATAATTTGCACCTGGTTCGCCGTGTACTATACACAGCATGAAGAAAAAAGGGCCATAAAAATTTAGGGTAAAAGTAAAACGTGTCCAGTCAACTTTCCTGCTGAAAGTAATATTCTCCGATTGGTTTGTAAATGGGCCAATTTGAAAAACTGGTAAGTTGCAATTGTACATTAACATGAAGTAAACTAATAAGATAATAAAGTAATAAATAATAAGTAAATTAAAGTAATGGTACGAAATTGTTAAATACTTGATGATGTATTTGAACTCAGGGTCATTCGGGGCTTAATATCGAATAGCTAAGGAATAATAGCTGCAAACAAGAAAACAAAAGTGTTTTAGTAATTT